AAGTATTGTAACAGAAATATTGACTCTTCACAAGTCTATACAAAAGTTTAAAAAAAAACCTGGAGTAGGACTGTAAGGGCCCATTTACACCATTGCAGTGCTTTAGTGTATGCACTTTAATGCGCGTTATGCCTCACGTCAACATGCATTGTATTAGGGCAGCCCATTCATTTGAATAGACTGCCTATTGCATCACCAAAATGTACCAAATAAGGTACATATCCCATTTCTGGCAGCATATTACACTGCAAGATACTGTGTTGCCATGTGTTATGCTGTGCTGCACACATGCCCATCTGCAAGGTGCATTGGCGTGCTATTCAGAATGAATGGCGCCATATCACACCAATGCATGTAATGCACATGTTACTGTAACAAGTGCATTACTGCAGTGCAATAGTGTGAATGGGTCCTAAATACATGTTAAAAAAACAAAGCTTCCAACAAGTTTCCCTGTTTTTTAAATTACAGTAGGGGAGGGTCAAAATTGATGTCAAGCTATCAGAATCTATGAATAATGTAGCATCACTGGCAATATTCCAAGCTGTTAATGCGTTCCAGGAACACCATGAATAAGGAACTTTGACAATGGAGTTTGGACAGATCTGGGGTGCATTTGACTTGCAGATCAGTTTCGTATCGATAGAACCACCCTTTAGACACATTCCTTTTCTGGTAATTAATGAAGCACAGAAGAGACTATGATTTAAAAGGTGTAGACACTGGAAAAAGTATTATATGCAAAGATATCTGAAAACATTGTAAAGAATAAGTCTAATTAATAATTAAGCAGGAAGCTGTGCAATTAAGGGGGACTAGGTGAAATACTTTTTTTGTCTCCTGGTGTTGTCTCCTGATGTTTCTTGTGCATTAAATTAATTTTTACAACTATAATAAATCCCCAAAATATTCTTTTTAATTGACATTCTTGAATGGTATTAACATCGAAAGTATGCGAGTCAAACAGCCATAAATGGTTAAGTATAGAATGTGTACATTCGGCACACGCAGCTAGAACACCTGGCTGAACAGTGATGATGTCCTGACACGCTGGATGTGAACATGTGGCCAAATTTCCCCAAAATAATTTTTTCTTTTCAATGCTACTTTTCAAAGCACAGCATAGGCATGAATAAAGCCTGATAAAGAAACAAAGTCAACAAACATTTGGAACAATAATTGAGAAAGATTTCCCTGTGACACATATCTGCAATTCATCATATAGTAATGTTATAATTTCTAACAGGGTTGACCCCCCCCCCCCCCCCCCCCCCATCACGAGCACGT